GATCACCAAATCCAACCATCAGATCACCAAACCCAACCATGGGATCACCAAATCCAACCATGGGATCACCAAATCCAACCACCAAATCACCAAATCCAACCATCAAATCACCAAATCCAACCATCAGATCCACCTGGATCCAGGATCCCACGCGCAGCTCTCCCAGATTTCCTCCCCATCAGCCTCTCAGTTGAGAATTTGGAATTCAATAGAAGGACAAAACTTTGGGAGAGGAATAATTTAAGGGGTAATTTAAGGGATAATTTAATCCCCCAGAGGTACCAAAATCTCCAGATTCCGAGTTTTTGGTCCGTTCACGGAGCTGAGGAATTCCCAAAAATACGGTGGGAAAGGAGTGACCCTTCCCAGGGGATCCCAGGCCCGACCCAGCCATGGGAAAAGCGGGAAATGGGATTTATTCCGGCTCCTGGAATCCCCCGGATTCATCCAGGTGGTGCTGCTATTTTGGGGGAATGAGGAAGGGCTGGAAATGCCGTTGCCATGGAAGCCAAAGGCAACGGGAGCTCGTTCCTGCCACGAGGGAATTCAACAGCCCCGGCCTTGGGAAAGGGAGCTCAGGGATGTCGTGGATTTATTTATTGTGTCCCAGGGGAGAAGATCCCAAGGGAGAAATCCCAAGGGAGAAGATCCTATGGGACAACATCCCGAGGGAGAACATCCTGTGGGACAACATGCCATGGGAGAAGATCCCAAGGGAGAAGCTCCCAAAGAAAAACATCCCAAGGGAGAGGCTCCCAAAGAAAAACATCCCAAGGGAGAGCATCCTGTGGGAGAACATCCCGAGGGACAACATCCCAAAGGAGAATCCCAAGGGAGAACGTCCCATGGGAGAAAATCCCAAGGGAGAACGTCCCATGGGAGAGCATTCCAAGGGACAATGTGCCATGGGAGAAGATCCCAAGGGAGAAGGTCCCATGGAACAGCATTCCATGGGAGAACATCCCATAGGAGAAGGTCCCAAGGGACAACATCCCATAGGAGAAAGTCCCACAGGAGAGCATTCCAAGGGAGAACATCCCGTGGGAGAAGATCCCAAAAGAGAACATCCCATAGGAGAGCATTCCATGGGAGAACATGCCATGGGAAAACATCCCATGGGAGAAAATCCCAAGGGAGAAGGTCCCATGGAACAGCATTCCATGGGAGAACATCCCATAGGAGAAGGTCCCAAGGGAGAACATCCCATGGGACAGCACTCCAAGGGAGAACATCCCATGGGAGAACATTCCAAGGGAGAACATCCCATGGGAGAACATTCCAAGGGAGAACATTCCAAGGGAGAACATTCCATGGGAGAACATCCCATGGGAGAGCATTCCAAGGGAGAACATTCCATGGGAGAACATTCCAAGGGAGAACATTCCATGGGAGAACATTCCAAGGGAGAACATCCCATGGGAGAGCATTCCAAGGGAGAACATTCCATGGGAGAACATTCCACGGGAGAACATCCCATGGGAGAACATTCCAAGGGAGAACATTCCAAGGGAGAACATTCCATGGGAGAACATTCCAAGGGAGAACATCCCATGGGAGAGCATTCCATGGGAGAGCATTCCAAGGGAGAACATCCCATGGGAGAACATTCCAAGGGAGAACATCCCATGGGAGAGCATTCCAAGGGAGAACATTCCATGGGAGAACATTCCGTAGGAGAACATTCCATGGGAGAACATTCCAAGGGAGAACATTCCATGGGAGAACATTCCAAGGGAGAACATCCCATGGGAGAGCATTCCATGGGAGAGCATTCCAAGGGAGAACATCCCATGGGAGAGC